ATTCCCCTTTGATAAATCACATAACACCCCTATGAAACTACACACGTACATACACACAAACACACACACACAGCCTCACAAATGCCACCCAAAGGGGGGGTCTTTCTTGAATTTCTTTTTGCAAGACAATTAATAAACCAAACCTAAAGTCAACTATTATGAGTATCAGTTCCGTTGATAAACCCATTGAGAGGGCATTCCACTGCTCAGTTTTAGAAACTGTATACTTATTCAGATTAGTAAAATCTCATTTAGAATATTTGGATCTGTAGTTTTCTTTTACATCTAACCTTCATTATATATTGGGATTGAGATCATTAAAAAAATAAGCACTAGAACTTTTATCATTCTTTCTGATCAGAAATAGTTTAATAAAAAGTCTGCTCTTTGACAAGTAAATTGCAATTCTAAAGATTCATTATTCAATGCTTTTAATAGCATCTAATCCCACTAACTCTAATAGTAATACCCACTATTAGATAATTAGTATTAGATACTTTTAATAATATGTGTTTAATTGTTTAGTTTATTTCATGGTATTTGATGTATTCCAGAGTTCTGAATTATCAGTTACTAATCTCACCTTGGTTGTCCCCTGCTTGTAAACTTTCAATGGCTACTCTATCTGATAATGAAATTAGAGCTAGTATTTTAGTAAGAAACAAAAAAGTGTCCTCTATTTTATACTCCAAGTCCCCTTACTTTCTCTATTCTTTGCTTTGCTCTTTACATTCCAGAAACACTACATTTTCAGTAGTTCTCCACATGCAATATGTTGTTCTGTGCTTCTGAGGATAGTTCTTGCTCTGCCCTTCATTCTCCTTTTAACCTCAATAGACGTGAGAGCGTAGCTGTTATATGTGCTGCTTCTGCAATTAAAGTACATATTTGACTTTGGTAAGGTTGTCAAAGCTTTTTTGTCCCTTAATATCATCATTTGTAAAATGAAGATCATTCTGTCATTTTTGAGATTGCACCCAAATATTGCATTTCAGACTGTCTTGTTGACTATGAGGGCCACTCCATTTCTTCTAAGGGATTCTTGCCCACGGTAGTAGATACAGCGATCATCTTAAATCCACCCATTCCCATCCATTTTAGTTCACTGATGATCCTACTTCATAACACTATTGTGAGGATGAAAAAAGTCCTCTTTGCAATATTTAGAAGAGAGTCTTGCACTTAGTTAAGTACTCTATGAAGGTTAGGTGCAATTATTTTTTAATGGATAAACTTTGTTCTTCCACTATGAATCAGTTTAGAGACTTTTGTTTTTAGAAACATATTGCCTTCAAAACTCAAAGCAACCTACCAGACATTGTGCTTCCTTATTTAATAATGGTAAATGAGTGTGAAATTGCAGTAAATTCTTTTATTTTAGAAGTATATACTGGCAGATACCTGACAAGTAGACGTCATTGAAGTGGCTAGTCCCTGATCTTCATGAGGTTGATCTTCTGCCCTCTGGAGGGTATGCTTCTGAAAGTCTCCAGCATACCAGCTACTTCTTGCTTATGTTGTCCAGTCTGCATGATGTTTTCAGTGTAAGGGACCACAATGATATGCTATGATATGGCCAGATTGTTTCAGATAATGTATATTATTACAGAAGAGAATTGACATATTCTTGAGGCAAGCCAGGCTTCAGCAATATGTGAACCGAGAACTTCCAGATGTTCAAGCTGGTTTTAGAAAAGGCAGAGAAACCAGAGATCAAATTGCCAATATCTGCTGGATCATCGAAAAAGCAAGAGAGTTCCAGAAAAACATCTATTTCTGCTTTATTGACTATGCCAAATTCTTCGACTGTGGAAAATTCTGAAGGAGATGGGAATACCAGACCACCTGACCTGCCTCTTGAGAAACCTGTATGCAGGTCAGGAAGCAACAGTTAGAACTGGACATGGAACAACAGACTGGTTCCAAATAGGAAAAGGATTACGTCAAGGCTGTATGTTGTCACCCTGTTTATTTAACTTATATGCAGAGTACGTCATGAGAAACACTGGGCTGGAAGAAGCACAAGCTGGAATTAAGATTGCCGGGAGAAATATCAATAACCTTAGATATGCACATGACAACACCCTTATGGCAGAGAGTGAAGAGAAACTAAAAGGCCTCTTGCTGAAAGTGAAAGAGGAGAGTGAAAAAGTTGGCTTAAAGCTTAACATTCAGAAAACTAAGATCATGGCATCCGGTCCCATCACCTCATGGGAAATAGATGGGGAGACAGTGGAAACAGTGTCAGACTTTATTTTTTTGGGCTCCAAAATCATTGCAGATGGTGACTGCAGCCATGAAATTAAAAGAAACTTACTCCTTGGAAGGAAAGTTATGACAAACCTAGATAGCATATTAAAAAGCAGAGACATTACTTTGCCAACAAAGGTCCGTCTGGTCAAGGCTATGGTTTTTCCAGTGGTCATGTATGGATGTGAGAGTTGGACTGTGAAGAAAGCTGAGCACCGAAAAATTTATGCTTTTGAACTGTGGTGTTGGAGAAGACTCTTGAGAGTCCTTTGGACTGCAAGGAGATCCAACCAGTCCATCCTAAAACAAATCAGTGCTGGGTGTTCATTGGAAGGACTGATGCTGAAGCTGAAACTTCAATACTTTGGCCACCTCATGCAAAGAGTTGACTTGTTGGAATGACCCTGATGCTGGGAGGGATTGGGGGCAGGAGGAGAAGGGGATAACAGAGGATGAGATGGCTGGATGGCATCACCGACTTGATAGGCATGAGTTTGAGTAAACTCCAGGAGTTTGTGATGGACAGGGAGGCCTGGCAGTGCTGCGATTCATGGGGTCGCAAAGAGTCGGACACGACTGAGCGAGTGAATTGAACTGAACTGAGGCAAATCGGTAACTGAGTATTTTTATGTTTCTCCCATGAATGTGAACTGTTTCCGATCCCTTTTCCACAGCAACAGGATGAAAAGTACACATTCACCAAATCAATGGCCACGTGCAGTGTACCTGTGGGCTTAACTAATCTGCAGTAATACCACATTTGCCATAGACACTGCAGTCAGGACTATTGGTCAAACCTGCAGTAGTTTACAGTCATTCTCCAGGAATCATCTAGTCTCATCAGGGCCAGACTGGGGAATGAAACAGAAGTAGAACCTAGACCACCACCATCTCTCACTATTCCACCCACTCCAGACTACGATATTGTGTTTGATTTAGTCTCTTGACCAGGGTTTCAGAAGTTTTCTGGCCTTCCCAGCTATTGTAGCTATAATAGCTCTTACTTCGCAGACCAGAGACCTATTGTGGGCTTACTTCTACTGACGCATTTAACATTTTGGTTATACACCTAGAGGCTTGGGGATAACCACTACCTGGGTTGCGAGTGAATTTGAGGTTCTTTCTTCATCGCGAAAGAATTCAGAGATGAAGCCGAGGGGTTAAGAAAGTGAAGTGAAAGCTCATTTAAGCAAGGATACGCTCTCAGAGGGAGAGGGAGCAGGCACCCCAGGAGTCGCCACCCGGGCTTCCTTGGCAAGGTCACTTGTGAGGGGCCCACAAATGAAGGGGTGGAATATTCACTGCGGAAGGAGGGATTTTTGTTGCCATTTAGCTTGAGTTAGAAGTGTCATGCCCTCATGACATCCTTATACAATGATTACTTCTTATCTGCTAGACTAATCTTATGGTAATGAGGGCACGAGGAGCAAAAGGTTGCATTTGGATTCAGGAGATTCACCCTTTTCCTTACCTTTCTTTGCCATCTACTCGGACTCTTATCACCCCAAATGTATGGTTTCCTATCAGTCTGAAGGCTCCTACTTTCCTTTGTCTATGTATGGACTCCTGCTGCTTATAGGATGGGTGGTTTAGGCCCTTGACCCCATTTCTCTGCTCATACCTGGCTACTTACCTGCTGTAACACCTGGAGCGTGCTCCCCTTAGGTCCACTGCGAACTTTATCTAGGCTTATTTTTTCACCCTGTCTCCGTAGGTCCCCACTCCTCAGGTATCAAGTCAATGAAGAGCCTTTTCCAGTGTCCTTGAGAATGTGTGATTATCCCCCCTTCCCCAGTGTACATACAATTACCTGGGTAAATGGCCGTAATTCCCTTTGAAGAAATAGAGGAATCATTATAGTATTTACTTGTCAGGATGTTGCAGGGTGTTTCTTTCTACACGACCTGACCACCTCTTCAGTTAGCAAGTTCAACACCTGAAAATTGGCTCATGTCTGGGAACTGAGCAAAGTATTGTGACTTTTAATAGGAGTGTCCACCCTCTGACTCCTGACTTTATTCATCTTCCCTGGACAGTGTCCACTATCAAAATCCTATTAATTTTTAAAAGGGATTTATTGCCTGGGAACTATATTCAGTATCTTATAATAAAATATAATGCAAAATAAATTTTAAAAGAATGTAGATATACGCACATATATGTTTAACCAAATCACTTTGCCATACACCTGAAACAAACAAAATATTGTAAATCAAATATACTTCAGTTAAAATAAAAAGGCTTTGTTGAAAGCCCACTACCTCTCTTTTTCCTTGTATGTATGACCTCAGCCAAGATGAATCTCTCTAACCCCTGAATTCTTGTAGGCATAGTGCTGATCACACTCTGTTGTTTGTTATACTTATTTCTGTACATCTTCTGCACAGATCTTGACTGTACATTAGGCTGAAACTCTCATTTATCATTTTATTCTTTAAAATACCCCACATAGTGCCTTCAGCATACTAGGAAAGCTGTGAAAATTTACTGACTTGATTTTAAATTGCAAACTTTCATTCTGCCACTTAATTAAAAGGCAAAAATGCATTTAGCCATTAAGTAGAATATGATAGTGTCCTATTTATATACTATTTTGTGTATGTAAGCCTATATACTAAAATATAAAATATTTTCATATATATACATGGAATTATACATGTGTATACTGAGCTGGGTTATTTTTTATTTTAAAGATTAAGATTTTAATTATTCAAATGCCAAAATCTAATTACCCAAATCTTTCTTTACAGATAATTTGTGGTAAAAGCCTTTCAGTGAATGACATTACTCTTAGTACTTTGAAAGAAGACGGGTACAAAGCTGCTTTCATTGGGATAGGTGAGTAGCTTATTTTCAAATATTTTTATTTATTTTTTTATTTCCTGACAGTATTCAGAAGAGTAACTACCTTCAGACATTTTTATGGTAGAATTTGTATCTGTTCAGAAAAGAGCAGATAGAAATGAATGGCCAAAGAAAATTTCTGTTTTATAATGAGTTGCACTGCCTCACCTCATTATAGATTGACCTGGACAAGGTATCTTTATCTTCCCATTCTCTTACCATATTCTCTTCACCAGTAAACATCTAAGATGCAAAGTGTTTTCAGGTCATGCTACAGAAGCTCAGAATTCAGGCTTAGAAATATCTAGATGCTGTAGCTTTCTCTTTATGATAAAACAAATTAGTTTAATTGATATTAAGAGATAGAATTGGCTCATTTTCTTTTTCTATTTTTTTTTGGTATTTTTAAAGACTTTTCATATTTGTCTGAATTATAAAGATGTTTGATCACAGTTTTGAACATCACATAGTATATAACTGCTAAGGCAATCAATGTGCCCTATGGTTCCATATTTTGCCTAACTATCCCAGGGAGATTGAGTTTTCTAACATGTCCCCCTTTCCCTTACTCTATACCGAGACCAAAGAGAACACACTGCTGATATAATTTGTTCTTTGTCGTGTGAACTTTGTATTTATTCTCTTATATGATCATAATATGAACAGTGAATGGCATATCAACTGAGTAAGTCCATCCTCAGGTCTTTTAGTTTGTCTATCTCCTCTCTAGTTCACTTTCTTTAAATATGAATGTCTAGTAAACCTACACAGAGGTAAAAACTGTTCCATCTCTTTAAGTAATCACATGCTAGATAGCATTTGTTTTGGGGCTGTCACTTTTCATATGTTTCTAGAATAAAATCATCAGGAATGCTTTTTTGCCTACTAAATTTTTATCAGGATGGTATATGTTCTCTTACTGGTTAGTTGATAGCAAGTCTTAAAACCATCTTGTCACTCCCTTTACTTAGGTGAAAAATTAGGAAGAGGCAAACAAATTTTCACTGCCTTCTAGCTCCTAAATGTCTTTATTCAACCTCCTTTCTTTCATCAACTTGATTGCCATTGTCATCAGTATTTCTCTAGGTTATTTAAGTACAATAATCCTGTGAGATAAAAACAGGAAAGAGAAAATACATAGCAATATATTGCCTAGGTTCCATTTTTAGCAGCATTACCCTTGACTTTGGCCTTATTTTTCACCATTACATTTGTACTGAGAATTTTGCATAAAGAAATAGGGAGAGTGTTTTTTTCACATATATTCTACCAATACCAGCAAAATTGAATCATTAAGTTGCTTTTACTCTCACCAAATGCATATTAAAATATGTTTTGTTGTTGTTTAGTTGCTAAGTCGTGTGCAACTCTTTGTGACATGGTGGGCTGTAGCCCCACTAGGCTCCTCTGTGGGATTTCCCAGGCAGGGATGCCGGAGTGGGTTGGCATTTCCTTTTCCAGGGAAAATGTGTTTAGTTAATAATAAATGAAAAATTTAGTCAGGCAATAGGTTTGAAACATTGGCAATGTTTTCAAATAGCTATTTGAAATTCACCAATGTAGTTTCCTATAGCAATTGTATGTAAAAGATGTGGAATTGTATATGCTAATGCAGTTTCATGTATCGCTATGAACTTTGTCCACAAAGAATCTCTGTATTGAAGAGATAGGGGCCAAATAAACAGCCAATATGTTGAAACATCTCCAAATTAACTGTTCAAGAAGCAAATTATAACAAAATTGGGAAGAATTGAATGTTTTATCAGTCTGAGTGGTTTCAGTTATAAAGTGATATCTTCCATCTGCAAGAATCAGGAATGTTTCAGTTTTCTTTTATTCCATTAAGTCCCCTTACATATGTTATTTGATAGTGCTATATCCCATTCACAAAACTCCATTTGACTCTGCATTGAGGTGTGAATAAAGCACTTAAAATGTGAAGTCCTTTCATATTTATGTTTCTGTGCATTTTCATGCTGAGAAGTGAATCTTTTGACATTTTGGTGTAGTGATGTGTAGAATGCAGTTATGTTCTCTTTCAGTATTCTGTATGAAATATATACAAGAAAGTTTCATCTTGTCAAAAAAAAAAAGGAGTTCTGTGTATAGAAAACAAGTAGCCTTGCCCTCCAGGAAGTACTTACTTGACACTCTTGATTGCCAAGTTGGGAATTTATGACCTTTCTATTGCCATCTGACAGCCTATTACTTAGATGGCCTCACATCTTTACATGCTTTTGTTCAATCACCATGCTTCTATATTGTAATTAGACTTCACTCTCTTTGTTTACCTAGCTTTTCCTACTTAGGATAGAGAAGTAAATTTTGGAATAGGAATTCTATATTACTTAGGATATAGGTTTGGCCACTTTAAGAAAGGAAAATAATAAAGACTTAAACAAGGTATATGTTCAGTCCTCTCTCAGTGTGAACCATCCTCAAAACGTGTCTTCCATATTTGGTTCTTAGGTGGCTAGTCTTTCCACATTCCTGCTAACAAAAATTGGGAATAAGGAAGGGAGTTCCTTTCCTCTTAAATTTATGACCCAGAAACTGCACGTGTTATTTCTATTTTTATGTTATTGCATACATCCTAGTAATATAAACATACCTGGAAGCACAGGTTGCAGGGAAATACAGCCTTTAGCTGAGTGGACATAGTGCTCCATTAAACTTCTATTCCTATAGAGAAGGAGGATGATAGATATATAGAGAGGGAAAAAATAGAAGTCTTGCTACTGATGTGCATCATTATTTGTATTTGACACATAGAACCCTTATTGAGAGAAATCAGTAAGCAGGTAATAGCCAAGAAAGACACTCTTAGAACTTAGCACTTAACCTGTTGGTTATAATGATAATAGAGTATTTTCTCTTTCTGTAGTTGGGAATACCATATTTTAGACCTATGTTTGTAACTATGTCTCATTCTCTGTTAGTCTAAAAGAAAAATAAAAACTTATGTTCTAATTAAGTATGACTTATGAAGGATAGCTTTATAAGTCTGTGCGTAAGTCCATAGCATGTAAGTCCATCTCAGATTCTGAAGTTTCCTGATTTTTAATTTTGTTTGTGCTATTGGTGAAACGCTCACTTTTAGCTTTTTTCCAAATTCTAACAGAATCCATTAAGGAAATTATCTCATTGTACATACATCATTGTGAGACTGAAAGAATATGTCTCTTTACCCATGAGAGGTTTACTTTTTTCTAAGTGAAATAAAAATAAGTGAGATAAAGCTCTGTGCCTTATTCAAACTGGATTATCTTTGAGATAATTGGTATTTTTTTCAAAGACTCTAAATTTTTGGTATTTTTATTGAAATAAAAGCACTGGCACAGTGTGTTACTGTCACTGTTTAGAAATAAAGTTAGAACATCTTCTGTGCGAGGTTTTTTTCAAAGTACTGGATGGCTTTCTTTGGTTGGTATTAAAATCAATATAATGGATGACAACCATCATTTTTTGTTATTAAAAATGAGCACAAAATAATAGAAAATATCAGTGTGTTGCACATTGTTAGGGTGAGTATTATTTTGAGAAAAATAATATGTGTATTTGCTTTTGGTGTATGTGCTTGCACATGCATATTGCATTATATGGAAAATGTGTTTTTAAAATGTGGTTTGATAGTCAGTGCTCAAAACCCACTGTTGTACATTGTAAAGGCTCTAAAGTACTAATTGCCTTTTCCCTATTCACGACAACCCTCTCAATAAGCAGCTGCTGAGTGAATTAAACAGGTTTTGCATGCTTTCAGTATTCTAAGCATTTGTTCCTTTTTGTTTTGGTTCTTTGGGTGATTATATTCTAGAGCCAATCTGAGTATCACTGTTCTAGGTGACTGAAGAATCAAACCCTTAATGTTTGATTCAAAGTAGCCTATTTCCCTTCCTTTTTTTTTTTCTTTTTTTGGCTACACTAGGTCTTTTGGGGGCATCAGCGCTCTCTATTGTGTTGCACCAGCTTACTTGCCCTGTGGCATGTAGGATCTTAGTTCCCCGACCAGGGATCGCACTTGCATCCTCTGCATTGGAAGGTGGATTCTTAACCACTGGACTGCCAGGGAAGTCCCTCTCTTCCCATTTCTGATCGTCCATTTTATGGTAATTTACTTCTTATAGTCTCATAAAGCATGACAGTGATGAAAAACTAAGCAAATATGTAAGGGAAGGAACATCCACTAAGTCACTCTCAGAAAAGGTATAAAGCTTTATATATTCTTTTGATGAAGTAGTTTTTTTTCTGAATTTTTGTTTTTAATACTTGGGGGAGAGGAAGAATTATGAAGTAAATAGCAGTTAAATGCATAATTATAGTCACAATAGATACAAAGGGAGCAGAGACTGCCAGAGGAAATTAAAAAGCTGAATATCACCATCCTGTGCTTTACTTATGTCGACTCCAAAGTCACTGTTCTCCTCCTTTCATGTTACTAGGCCACTCCTTCGCGTCCTAACCAGTCTCCTTGGCCACTATTAGCCAAACAACAGAAATAGTGATATTTCTAAAATTAGATCTAATGACATCATTCTCTCATTTAGATTCCCCCACCTCCCCCATTCAATAACTCCCTATTTTCTTCAAAATACAGGAAAAATCCCTTAAAATAGACTGCTGAGGCTTTTCATAATTTATGAACAACTTAGGTCCTTAGTGATTTATTACATTAGGTGTTGCAGACATTTGAAATGTTTTCAGTTTTACCTAATCTCAATCTTTTAAAATCAATTTTTGGACCTAGTGTTGCCTGAGGAACTGTCACCGTTTTCATATTTGTGTTCTTACATGTCCTTTTTTCTACTTCATGTAATCCTCTTTGCTTGTAAGGATCCATCCGCTACCTTCACTCTTTACTGTGGGCAAATTAAGCCACTTCACCGTCACCAGTCATCATGCCATTATGTTTCTGTTTCCTCTCTGGATGTCCATATCAGATTTTAGCACTCATTTCCGTGTATCATAGTAGATTGGTGTGTATTTGTTTCCACCAC